TAAAAATAAAATAAAAATAGTAATAATTGCAAAAAACCATTTAAAAAAATATATCTTTAAAATAAAAACATGTGTTTCAAATAAAAGGATAAAAATAAATAAAAACAGTATAATTGGTTAGTATTAATTTATCCAAGGGTTAAAATTTTTTCAAAAGGTTTATGATTTATCCAAGTGTTTAGGGTTTAGGATTAGAGTTTAGGGTTTAATAATAGGGTTTAGGGTTTAGGATTAGGGTTCAGGGTTTAGTATTTTATTGTTAAATACTTTTTTAAAATTTTTTTTCCTTTTTTAAAATATTATTATTTTTATTTATTTTTTGTATTTTTATTTTAAAAATATAATATAATTTAACAAGATTTTATTTCCTTTTAAAAAAAGATATCAAAAATGAAATAACATCATCCTATTGGTTGGTGAACCTAGAGGTTCACCCCCTAGGGTGAACCTAAGATAACTCTTAATCTTATTTCCTATGGTACACTTCTTTTTAAAAATATTTTACCACCTAACATTATGGTTGTTATGCAATAATGTTATACACCATATCTTATGCTCAATATGGACCTACAACATTTACACATTAATTATAAAAATGAGTTAGCATATATCATACAACATTTATACCATGACATCTTACATTATATAATTCCAAATATCTACAAGATAAAATTTGATAAACACTCTTTAGTACATAAACCATCTGTTAAGAATTATATATATATATATATATATATATATATATATATTATGTTATATTAACTTTTATAAAAAACTTTATAGTAAAAAATAATTAAGATAAATTTAAAATTATTAGCAGCCTTAAAAACATTTTTGTTCAACAAAATGAAAAACCTCTACAAATCTATACTATTAAACTAGCCAAAAATCTCCCAAGTAAATCTTATATCCCACCAACTCAATAAATTTAACTCTTATAAAATGCACATAAAATATAATGAGAGAGTAAGTTTGAGCATTTGGGTCTGCGGGTCGGAAATAAATAGGTTTCTTTTGGGTTCGAGTTCTTCGGGTCTTAGACATTTGGACACAACTAGATATTTGAAAAAAAAAATAGTTTGGATTCGGTGCGGTACTTTTTGGATCTGGTTCAACTCAAATCCATAATTCAAGTACTTGTAAAATACTTGTATTGGGTACATAATGGGTTCGGGTAAGTTCGGATATTCAGGATAATTAAAAAACTCAAAGTACATAAAAACTTGAAAAGCCAAAACATGAAAAATACATGAAAATCCAAACATATATCTTAAGATATTCAAATGTCCAAAAGACCCGAAATTTTATCCGAGGAACCAAAAGTTTATCAGAATACCCAAAGTATAATTTTTTTGTTGAAATTTTACCAAAACCCCTAAACTATAACCAAAAATCCCAATCTGAAACTAAAGAAAAACATTTATAGTACTGAAAACATATCTAAAACACATAAATATATGTAATATATACAAAACATTTCGGATAATTTGGGTATCTGGACTCGAACAGAGACCCGCGGGTCCAAAAACAAAACCCAATAGGTATTTTGATTGATCGAGAACCTGAACCTGTATTTTTGGATCGGTTTTAGTTCAGTCTTTTGGATCCGTATAAAATGCATATGCTTAAGAGAGAATTATATAAGTGTGGACATACAAAATCTCAAATAAATTAATACATAAATTATATAATTTAGAACTTGGTAAACAATTATTTAATTTTAAAACAAATTTTCTTATTTGATATAATACGACTTTATAACATAATAATATACAAAATCTCAAAATACTAATTTATATCAAGCATTTTTTGTAAACCTAAGTACGGGTCAAAATCTAGTTAGTAATTAAAATTTCATATGTTTGTTTAATTAAAATTTTGTATGTTTTCTAAATATGTATCTACTCTATAAAAATAGAGTTCTTTTTTATGTACTGATACAAGTTGTCATTTAAATTTGGATATTGTCTAGATTGTTACAAATATACAAGTCATATAGTTGACTGAACCACATTATTTAAATTTAACCGGCGGTTATTTGTGGGATAGAGTCTTGGGCTTACTTTTGTTTTAAAAAAAAACTTATATGGTTTGGTTTTTGGGCTTATTATTAAGGGAAATCTCCAAAAAACATTGAATAAATTTTTCACCTTGATGGATCAAAAAATTAATTACTATTTTCAGGCCCAAATGTAATTAATATTTTTAACAAAAAAAAACTTTCTATAATTAATCACTTATTTAAATCATGTAAACATGTTAATGTATATTTTTATTTTAAATAAAAATCACTTTGATTTGATAAATTTCAATGTAACTTTTAAATGGTTTATTATTTTATTTTTCTTAAATAATTTACTGTTTTAAGAAAAAATGTAAAGCAAAACCAAAAACTATATCTGAAAACTAAAATCCAAACCAAAAGCTGAAAACGCAGGTTATATTTTTGCTCTTTTTATTTAGAAAATAAATTAAAGAAATTTTCTTAAAAAATAAATTGTCATCTTTTCAGTTTTAAATTAGATGTTCAATTATTTGGGATTTGTTTGTTGGTAATATCAGTTCAAACTAACTCAACGGATCTAAAAACTAAAAACCTAAACCAAAAGCTGAAAATTAAAAATAGAAACTTAAAAACTAAAAATCAAAAACCAAAATCAAAAGCCAAAATCTAAAACCAAATCTAAAAATAGAAACTAAAACTAAAAACTAATGCAAAACAGTCACCACTACAAATTTTGGATTACTTATTTTTTACCAAAACATACTTTAAATAAATACAAAACCCAATTATATAGATTTTAATCATAAAAATTTTCCGTGCTTGAAAAAACGCGGGTTAAAATCTAGTAAAATTTTACAATATACATATTTTGAAATAAAAAGACTATATTGTAAATAAAAAATTATTTTGGCTTTATTCTTGGGCTAACCAGGGGAAGATCTACCATGTTTGAAAAGGGGGCCCATGCCCCCAACTACTTTGTAAAAGTTATTTAACAAGATAAAAACTGCTGACTTTGGTAGAATAATTGGTAAGATGCCTATGGTAAAGAGTAGCAGCTCTTACAAGTTTCTAAGCCAAGCCAGACATTGACGTTTTTGTTTTGTTTTTCCTCTTTCTGCACAATAAATTTGCTGTTTGACATGTTTACATGCACAGTGATCAATTCTGAAGCAATATCTCTACATGATAAACGTTGGAAAAGTAAGAAAGAGATCAAGAAGAAGCTGTTCCAAGAGAGACGCCAAAAAAATGCTGTGAAACGGAAGCTCCATCTGGTTCATTTAATTCTAAAAATACTTCTTTTTTTATGAAAGACTTAATTCTAAAAAAAATACTTACTTAATTAATTAGATTATAAATAATAATATATGAGAAACCGATTTTGTTTTCATCACTGCTGATCCTTGTTCGGAAACTCCTAGACGCTACGCGTACGATGCATTAGTGATAGCACCTAGCAATTTATTGAAAAAACAGAAAAATTGAGAATTATGCGGGCAGAATTTTTTATACTTTTATATGTATAATAATTTATTTATGTGTAATACAAAAAAATTGTATTATACATTTATGAAAAACACATCATTGATATTAAGAGTCATAGATTTATAAATACATACTAATTAGATCACAAAATATAATTGAACTTCTTTTTGTTCACATCATTACAAAATGTAATCTCACTTACAAGAGATACAAAAAATATATTGTTTTGATTTTGAGAACAACCAAAAGAAATTGAGGATTGCACTTTCAATCCCCCGTCCTTCAATAATCAAACAAATATCTCAAGTTTTAGTACATGTTAAGATGATTGTTACCTTGTTTCTGTTTCAGCAAAAGGTTGTAGATGGATGACGAAATTGATTTGGTTGTGTTTTGCTTGAGATTTTGTTGTTTTGTGTTGTTAGGGTCTCTGGGAAATTTGGAGATTTATTGTTGTCGGGGAAAGAGAGATAGAAGTTGGAGTCAGTAGGCTTAGGAGATAGGTAGATTAATAAATTGTTTGGACTTTATAGGAAATAGACTAATAATTTATTTGGACTTAAGGGAAATGGGTTTTCAAAGAGGAATGGGTTAGGCGAACTTTTTAATTAAGTGGACGATTTTTTAATTAGGGGAATTTAATAATTTATTTGGACTTAAGGGAAATGAGTTTTCAAAGAGGAATGGATTAGGCGAATTTTTTAATTAAGCTGACGATTTTTTAATTAGGGGGATTTCTATGTTCGTTACACGGCCAGCATAGAATTCAACTGAATTGAGGTATTTCACTATGGTACGAATCGGCTAGGCGGGCAATTTTTTGAACAAGGCTGTTGATGCTCTAGTCTTGTTTTTTTTTACTGTGCAATAAATTTGGTGTTTGACACGTCTACTCTTACTGCTCCTTTCTTTACAGTTAACTTACAAGAGAATTTTCCCTAATTCTTCCTTTGTTTGTTTGTCTTTTCATATTATTCAATTGTAGTCTATATATTCTATCTTTAGATTTCAAGTTTGTACGCTCCAGCTACATTAATAATAGACATTCACAATTGTTAATAAATAAATAAAACTAATTAATATTAAAATAATAAATGTTCTATTCATTTTTTTCCATTATATTAGAGTTTATTTATATGATAATAAAAAATATTATGTAGGGATTACTTTTCTATACATTTTCAAATTATATTATAATATCAATATATATTTCTTAATTAATTATATGCCCCCCTCAAATATCTAGTCTGGATCCGCCACTGGGACTAACCAATGATGCTCAGAATGATTTGGTCTCATTATTTATCAGTTAAGTTCAATGTTATTATCGTGTGCGAATGTGATGGTTAATGGGAAGGAGATTCTAACTGCTAATTAGCTCTTGACTCAACTATTCTTAAATAGAGTAGTCATTTTTAGTTTTCGACAGGGGATTGGTGGATACGTAGTAACAGAAAAAAAAAAGTAAATGGACTCAACCTGTGTAGTTAACATGAAACTGATTTTTGTTTGGGTGAAACATGAAACTGATTATCAATACATGTATATATGATCCATACAAACTCATGTACCAAAAAAATCATCATTGCATGCATGATAAATAACTCATCCGAAGAATTCTTGATAAAACTCATCAGAGAAATGATGCTACAAGTTAGACTTTGTGTTACAAATCAAAGTATACCCTTAAGTCCTTCCCTTCGGTTCCCTTTCTCACGTTGACTTTAGTTTGTGCACTTCATATAATTCCTACCGCGCAACCAATAAATCAGAGACACAAATCAAAACTAATCACAAAGATATATATGCACAACACTGTATCTCTCTTCTCTGTTCGTGATAATAATAACAATAATAGTCGTACCAAAATAGAATGTAGTTGGCTTAGAAGTGGAATGAGCAAAGCAATTAAACTTCTTATATCATCCTGAACCATTTGGTGACTCTCGTCTTTACCCGCAAGTACGTTGATGAATGTCTTGTTGTTTGGTACAAGCTTAAGAGCCACCTTAAGGTAAATACAAACATATTCCAAGAAATTGTTCAATTACGAAAAAAACTTGTGGGGTTTTATGATTAATTTTTTTCTACTCCATTGATAACCGTAGACATTAATATATAATAATACCTTGAAAGCAGCACAAGAGATCCATCCATGCCAAGGTTTTATAGTCAAATTATAACTTTCTTCTACGGCTTGTTGCATGTTTTGTGACATGTCTTTGACAAGCCGTTGCAATAGGGCCAATGTAAAATCCATCGCTCTATAAATATTTTGGGAGTAAAAAATTCTTTAATTGGTTCGTATTTGATATGGTCTTAAACAAACTGGTTTGGATATAAATTCAAACGCAGCAAAATGATGCGTACCTGATTAGCCAAACAGCAGCTCGGCTACAGCTTTTAAGCTTCTTAGAGGATCCTTCCTTCGCTTCTTTACTCAGTATCTCAACCAAATTTGAGTATACAATAGGATCAGTTTCCCACATCGTCTCTAATCTCTACACCAAGTCAACGAACAGAATAGGCAAAATCACTTGCTAAAATCATTAATATAAAAATTGAGGATGGGGTAAGAAAAAGGTCCATTTGATTGAGAGAGAGAAGGTATGACGAAAATGACCCTGAAAGCAACGTAAAGGTGTAGACGGGTCCATATGTCGAAAGAGATGAAATTTTCTTGGACGTCGAGTAGAAGAGACATCACTTTTTTAATCATTTTAATTAATTATACGTTTAGTTACCAAAATACATAATTCTAAACTAGTTACGCAAGTGATTACGAGCATTGAAAACGATGCGTGTATATAGTAAACATTATTAGCATTAATTGAAAAACAAAATTAATTACTTGAATATTTTGATCAATGTCTTGTCGGAGAACAGCCATTCTCGGGCCAATCTTATCTGCAAACAACCAACAAAGGTTTCAGAACAACCATTAGAGGAGGGTGTTATGCTCTAATTTAAGAAAAGTTAATGGTACAGTGAGCTAGTTTCGGAAGAACATAATCTTAACGTTTAATATATACTCCACCACAAGACACAAAAATTGCATAATATGTACCAAGAACTTGGACGATTAATTTGCAGAAAGAGAGGAGAGGCTTCAAAGGTAAATTGATGATGTTGGTGGCTTCTGTTTCGGTGGTAACTATTGTGGTCTTGGCTATGGAAAGAACAGAGAGCTCTTCAATGGCCGATCCAATCTCTGTCATCTTTTTCTTCTTGGTTGTTTCTTCCATGTCACATCTCTTTCGTTTCATCTTGGATAGTTTTTCTCGTGCTTCTAGAGTATGTGTGGGTGCGTGAGTTTGTGTGCCTCTACTAAATCAACATCAGGGAAGTAAGCTATTTATAATTCCGGATATTGAAGCCTTTCCCTTGCATTTGTTATGTTTTTCTTTTTGTGAATATTCGAAAACTACTAATAATAAATTGAGAAAATGTTTTTTTTTTTAGCCCAAAATCATTAGGAAGTTGTCCCCTTAGACTAATCTCTAGTACTTTATGTCCCATTAGGCTAAATATTCTCTAAATGGCAATAATACCCTTAAATTCCCTTAAAAATCGTAAAAAAAATAAAAATAAAAAAAATCTTCAAATCGGAGAAAAAAAAGACGAAAGAAACTGCTCTATATGACGGGATCGATCGATCCCGTAAAGAGTCTGATCGATCCTAGCGGTCGATCTCGATGATTAAACAAAAACATAAAAAAGCACGGAGCAGAAACTGATCGACCTTTTCAAGTTCAATCGATCTACACTGATCGATCTACCAAAGATCGATCGATCTCTGTTCTAGATCGATCAATCCCGATCCCAGTTAATTCTTCCAACTCGATTTCATGGTTTTCTTCGGTTATATCTGGTTTAATTCACATTTCTCAGAGTCTAATCGATCTTACAGATCAATCGTTTTGGATCGACCGATCCCCTAGGTGAGATCGATCGATCTCGTGCCCAGGTAAGTCTCCGAAATCGATTTCTGGTTTTGCTCAGTTATATTCGGTTTAAATCACACTTGATTTGAACCGGCCAAACACGATTTAACAAAAGGATTTTGTGTTTTAGGGATCAAACCCCTCATTCTCTTATCTTCCAACTCGAAAAAGTGTGATTTTTCTCTCAATTTCACTAAACCCTAACTCACTCAGTTTACTCTGATTTGGACGATTCTTGAGCCTAAACCAAACAATCTCGCGAGCTTTGTCCGAATCTATCACTCTTTCGTTCGATCTGTAAAGGTATAAAACTGAATCTTCAATTTAAGAGTCCGAAAAATGGTGATGAATATGGAAACCGAATATGGAAACCCCAATTATTAAACCCCCGCCAAAATCTGTAAAGGTATAAATATGGACGTTTTTGCCTTTGAATTTTCTTTTTTTTTTTAAAAAAAAAAATGAATTTTAAATATGAAAACCGAATATTTCCTAATATATTATTCCTATATTTTTGGATCTAATAATATTTATCCGTAGAATTCAGATTCTACATAAGGTAGAACTGTGTTAAGAGATATGAAATCAGTTTCTACATGTATTAGAACGTTGTAACAATGTAGAGTCCGATTTCTAATAGTTTTAGATTTAAGTAAGAATTTAGATTTCAATTTCTACTTTTATTAAAACTCTATGATAAGAGTGAAATGTGTATTCCAAACTATTTTAGATTCGTGTTATCTGCGTAGAAAACATATTCTGCAGTTCGTAGAAATAGTGAAAAAAGTGGATTCCGTATTCTAATCCGTAGTATACGGATTCTAATTTCGGTAGAATAATATATGAAATTATAATTTACACATTTTAAAAAAGGAAAAAATATCACTATATAGATATAGGGGTTTCACATTATGTACTATTTTTAATTTTTTTTTTGGCTTCATAAATATATATTTTTATAATAATTTAAGAAATAAATAAAGAGCATTAGAGTCAAAATTGGTACAAAATATAATTTAGACTAAATGGACAATGTCCAAACCTATTTGGTCTAAAAAAAACAGATTCCCCTAATAAATTCTCTAGATATTATTTGTAAAGTGATTTGTCGCATGACATCATCATAATTATTTTCACAGGACATATGCGAATTGACATGATTTATGGTTAAATGTGACATGAACAATTATATTTAATGTTAATTTTCTTTTTGATAAATTATCTAGAATATGGTAATATGTTATACATTATCATTAAAATAAATCTATTTAAATATAAAACTAAATAATATAATAATAAAATACAAAATATTTCAAATTCGAAATATTATTAAAGTATATTGTTAGAAAATATTTATTACTAAACAAGAATTTAAAAATTTTATACAATCTTTTGTAAAAAAATATAATTTTTTAATCGTAATATCGCTTGTTTCTTTTTTATATCTACATATTTAGGAATTACTGTTTAGTTTACAGTTATATGATTTTATATAATTTTTTTTAATTAAATAAGTTGACTAATATATCTTAACCAAAATTAAAAAAAAGCTATCTAAATTATAATTTTAATATGTATATCCTTTTTAATATAATTTTAAATATATAAAATTATTTATTTTATCTTCATTTTTCGTTAATTAAATCAATATTTATTATAAATGTTAGTATAAAAATAATAAAAACTAGTTTTAAATATAATCTAAATATTGAATCGTAAATTTTTTGTTGCATATAGTGCAAAAAAGCACCTACTATATATTATATAATAATGGTTAGAGATCCTCTCGTCGAGAGACGATGGTTACTGATCAGTGTGGTCCCTTGTTTGACCTGGTTATTGCTTTTGATTTTATTAAATATATTTGTTTATTAAGATTATTAGTTTACCACTTTACCCCATAATGGTAAAATTTGCTCCTCAAACTCTTTAGTTTTCTTTTAGACCACTCCTAATGGAGGTTCTCCCCCATTAAAGTTCTTAATATATGTGCTATATATATATATGTATATATTATATATACGTAAATAATTGTAAGGTCCACAATTATTATGGAATCCCATAAAGATTTTTAAAACTTTCTTTTAAGAACTTTTATCTATGGGGTTCCACAAAAATTGTAGACTCCACAATATTTATACATATATAATATATACATACATGTATATACACATAACACATATATTAAACCTTGATTGATAGAATTTATAAAACATAAACATATGCAATAAAAGTAACTAGAGCTTGATTTCGACATCCCCACACGGATGTTGGTTATATATATATATATATATTGGTTTACTTTTTTCGTGAATAGTTTGAACATTCTGGAGTGACTATGACAAATGAAAATTTCAAAAAAATCATAGTTTTTTGGGTTATTTTACATTTGACTTTATTTTTGTTTTGAGTTATATTTGTAAAATCCCATTAACAATTAGAAATAAATCAAAAATAAATCCACACTTTTTAAGTGTGGTCACATCTAGTTAACTAATTAAATTCCATTGAAAACTTCAAATATGTATCTTTTCAAAAAAAAAATTATTCTAAAATACTCCCTCTGTTCCTAAAAGATTCATATTCTAGTTTTTTCACACTTTTTAATAAAACAGAATAAATTTGCATAGTTTTTTGTATTTATCTTCTTTCCATAATTTTAAACCAATCAAAAATCAATTAGTGAAATTAAGTTTTTTGAAATTTAAAATTATTTAATAAAACATACATTAAAAATGTAAAAATGGATCTTTTAGAAACAATTTTTTTTTAGAATATGTATCTTTAAGGAACGGAGGGAATATTTATCTTTAGAAACAAAGTGAGTAATTTTCTGGTTGACTATTATTGATGGGAAACTACAAATTCAATTAAACAATAAAGCGAGTACTTATAAGTTATAACCAAGTGGAAGTTTTATGGCATCATTAGTGGTAAAATAGCAGGTAGAGAACCTCACTATTATTTTTATTATTATTTTGTACATAACTTAGTTATCTAATTATTTTGAAAAATTAGAACAAACAACTTGTAAAATGAGGCTACGTGTATTCACAGTTTCTTTAGAAACTCAGGAAAGTTATTCCTTCAAATTCACCTCGTCTCTTATCACCAATCAAATTGACATGACATACTAATAAAAAAATATTAAAATTTAAAAAAAAATCGACAAAAAATATGACGGTGATAACAACGTTAATGCCATCAATCAAACCTTAAATCTTAAACATAAATTCTAACCCTAAATCTAAAGTTTAAACCCTAAACCTAAATCTAAACCTTAAACCCAAACACTAGACCATAAATCCAAACTCTAAAAGTACAGCGTTGACATTAACGCTGTCAACTAAACCCTAAACCATAAATTCTAAACCATTGATCATAAACCTAAATCTAAGCCAAAATCCTAGATCGTAAACCAAAACCCTAAGGGACGTTGAGATTAACACCGTCAGCTAAATCATAAGGTATGTTTAATGGTTTATCCGGTGAATTTGATGGTTTATCACGTCAGGTGAATTTGATGGTTTATCATAGGGGATGAACCTAAGTATAGTTCTACTTTTAAATTTGCTAGAGACGGGTGAATTTTCAACTGCTGCGATTACCCTTAGGTATGTTTAATAAGGATCTATATCCGGTTTCGGTTAGTTTTTTTTTGATTTTTTGATATTTTAGTTTATAATATATAGCTACCACATTAGAACCAGATCTAATTTGGTTGATTCAGTTTATATGATATTGCTTTTCAATTTATTCGGTTTTATAATAAAAAACCATAACCATATTTATTCTTTATAATAAATTTTAGTGCATACATTTAGAAATCAGATTTATTAAAATATAAGTATATATTTCTTATGATAACATAAATATATAACATTTCTGTTTTATTTAAATATTAAACTAACAGTAAGAAAAATAGTAATATATTAATATTGTATAATTATATTTTAAGTATCCTAATTCAGTATATCAAATACCCTATGAAACTACAATACTCTTGCCAAGAGAGGTAGAGTAAAAGTACTTAGGGATCTGATCCATAGAGAGCAAAGACACACAATATGTTTATATTATCCTAATGGTTAAGCTAGGTGATATTATTTTGTAGGTTATCATGTTTGAGTAAACAGAAATATTCTAAACTTAAGTGAATTCAGATATGAAAAATAGCTAGATCTAGAGTTTAGACACGTGGATTATAATTGGTAGAATGCATGGTTACACTAATATGCTAGGACTAAACTGTCAACTAATCTGACTCCCCCTTGTTCCAACTATCAATTCGAATAAAGAGAACTACCATCGATCGACGGTGTAACACTGGTGTCAATCGATGGTAAAATCAGATAAGAGGTATGATGAGTTTGATATATCCACTAAATTGATCAACCAGCCATCACATGC